AGACGGCTAGCAAGGAAAGGCAATAAACCACTAGGATCAACATAAGATGTGCAAAGTCTACAAGCAAAAGAAGACAGAGCAAGACACAGATCATTGGATGTCCTAAAAGAGGTACAGAGTCGCCTCCAACAAATGGCATCTAAACCAGAGGGACTAGAAGATCCAGTAGTTTTGAGAGCAGTGGACCTAATTAAATCAGGAGTAATGGCATCAAACAGTATGGGATCATAAGGACAGGTAGCAGACGGAGAAGAATTTAAAACCAGTAGGATATAGGAATACTTTAGAGTTAGAGGAGAGTGGGAGAAGGTTGAGGTCATTAACAAAAGTAACAAATAATAAAGGACCTAGGAATCACTTTGGGCATAGATATATAATTCACGGAACTGGATTAGAAACAGGATCACATGAGCACATATATGTTGAAACACTCCTAATTTGCTGTGGAATTATAGGGCACACCTACACCATTGTGAGCGTGCAACATAGCGCAATAATATTCAGATGCTCAACTGGCAGTGTTGTATCTATGCTGGTAGTTTTGTTCAGTTAACACTAATATTCTTTGTGAAAATGGCTGTATCTAGCAACAGGTATAATTGAAACAGACTCTTTATCATGATAGTTTTTACTGATGTTATAGTTAACAGCTATGACTTAATCAAAAATGTTATCAGTAGTGTTTTAAGTGATGAAGTTTTTAATATATCTTGTGAGAAGACATTAAGGTCACGAATATGTGCTGAGAAGCTACTTCTCTGGATGAATAAAAATGAAGATGAAGCCAAGCAATTCTGTGTCACTTTTTTGCGAGCGACTCAAACAGTGCTGTCAGCATTCGAAAACTGTCAAATGTAGGACTTTGAGGCAACACATGTGGTCTCAGCTTTTCTAATTTTGCTCTTCTGATGAGTCACTGCACCTATGGCAATCTCTTCTTTTAAAAAATTGGATACGACTACGATCCCCTTTTTATGTCAGTTTGTTACTAAAACAGTAACAGAATCCCTCATCAAAAGTTTTTTTTTTACGGTTACTTTGACTACTTCAGCCACTGCAGTCTTTCACTAGATGATGAAGAGTCAAACACTCTGCAAATTCTGCTGGCTATGTGGTCCATGCAGTTACCAAAAAAGTAAAAAGATTAGCAAGCCCTTTAAAGTAGCAACTGCTGCTATGCTTAAATGAAATGGCTGAGGAAGCTAGCAACTATAATAGTGAGATATTATTTTTAAGCATAAAAATTTTTATTTAATAGACATCGAGCTTGAAAGTACAGAATGCCAACTGGCTTAACACATTAGATAGAGGATGACTAATTCACAATAGTGATGATTTATATATGGTTTTCTATTCTATGGAATTAGAAATTTGTAAGCACTTCCACTCTGTCTATAGACCACCCAGAGTGAGAATTGCTTACGTCATAGAAGTACTTACGGTAGTAGGCGTGGCCTAAGGGAAAAAATTTCGAAATTGTTATAGTCCGCCATTTTGGTTGGCAAGATCGTCGTTTCTTGCTGTGCATATGGATGCACAAACAGGTATGGCAATTAAGGCTGCAGCAAAGTTTTACCGCTTTCCAACTGAGCCTGACTTGAAAGCCAAGTGGATTGCTGCCATTAAGAGAGAAAAATGGGAACCAACAGGATGTTCAAGGATTTGTAGTGACCATTTTATCACTGGTAAGTATGAAGTTATTTGCCAGTTTTATCCTTTACCTAGGTAATATATTAGGTATGCGTTCTAAAAGCCCCAACCATCTAGATTATGTGCCAAGTGTCTTTGTTTATTCTAAATCATGTACTGAAAATGGACTGCAACGATTCCACAGAAGTGTAGCTAGATCTACAAAATGTAGGTCTAAGTTTCAGTCTAATCTAGCACTAGTAGCTGTTGATGATGACCCAGGTGAATATGATATGGAGGATAGTGAGGTAGAAGAAAGTGACGATGACCCAGATGGACATGATATGGAGGATAGTGAGGCAGAGGAGAGTGAGGATGAAGCTGAAGACGATATTGATGGCGTAGGATCTACTGACAAAGGGATTGCTGATGGAGTTGAGGAAGACACGTTTAATGATGATATTGATGATAATAGTGAGTGTGACAATGACGACAATGAAGGCAATGACAATTTTGAAGACAGATATGAAGAAGATGCTGCTGAGTCTACTGATTATTGTGAAGACTATGATGACAAGGTTAACGGTACTAATTCCAGTTACATGTACAACAGAATAAGTGACATTGATCTAGAAGACAAAGAGATTGAAATTGGAGAGCTGCAATTGGAAATAGAAAAGTTGAATGATGTAATAGAGAAGTATGAGCAAGAAAATCAGTTGCTGAGGGAAGATAATTGTTTATTGAAACAAGAAAATTCCTGCATTAAAGCCATCCTAGCTCAGTTGCAGATAGCAAACTGTAGCAATGTACATGCCATCATCTCATTAAAAAGGAATGTTGAGGTAATGCAGTCTAAACTTGAGAAAAACAACTTTGGAGCTAATTTCATTACTGACAATGATAGGAAGACATCCTTCTACACCGAACTTGTTTCGTTTCAAATGTTTCTAACTCTGTTCAACTTACTAAAACCATTATTTACAACCAAAATCTCCACCCGTCCACTGATAAATGAGTTTTTTACTCTCTTTAAGCTGCGACTTGACGTTCCTTACCAGGATATTGCGTACAGAGCTGGTTTGTCATCAGACGAAGTTGGAAAAATTTTTTGAAGATGGATTGATGTTATGAGCACTGAATTAAAACCACTTGTAGCTTGGCCAGATAAAGAGCAACTCATTCTCAATATGCCTCAGGTCTTCAGGAAGCATTTCTCAAATGTTTGTTGCATAATATATTGCTTTGAAGTGTTTATTCAAAGACCAACATCTTTTGTTGCTAGAGCACAAACCTACAGCAACTACAAGAAACCTAATACTGTAAAGGTGTTGATAGGAATAGCTCCAACAGGTTCAATTTGTTTTATATCTGAAGCCTGGGTGGGCGTGTGTCAGATAAAGTGATTACGCAGGAAAGGGGAATATTAAGGCTAGTAGAATTTGGTGATCAAATAATGGCTGACCATGGGTTCAATGTTGGGGATGATTTGGCGATGTGTGGTGCAGAATTACTGATTCCTGCTTTTACACGAGGAAAGAAGCAACTATCGACACGGGAGGTTGAGTTTACCAGATGTTAAACTAGGGTGAGGATACATGTTGAGAGAGTCATTGGACATTTGAGAAAGAAATACCAAATATTACAACAGACATTGCCAATTACTACCATAAAACATCCTGATGATAATGCTAAGACTAATTGTTTAATCAATAGGATTTTAATCGTTACTGCCGCATTGACCAACTTATCAGAATCTGTTGTCATTAAATCAAAATAATTCTTTACATTTAAAAATCATAAATCCATTTCATTTGAAAGTAATTGAAAATTTATATTAAATTAATAAAAATTGTACTAAAATTAATCATTTACAATCCGGGCAAAACCAGGCTCCTTTTGGGGCTCGCTTGATGTTTACACATGCATAGTGAAACCATTCCACTTTGCATGAGGGGTTGTCACATGCAATCATACATCCTGGTCGATCCTTCTTACAGATGCAATATAAATCGTCTGAGGAGCTGGTTTCTACCTCTTCACACTGTCTTTTGGAGCTGGTATGTTGTACAGTGGATGTGCTTGTACTTGGTGTGGCATTAGATGTAGATACAGACATACTTGTGGATCCCGAGTTTTCTTGACTATGGGTCAATAGTTCAGGTAACAAAAACTGTGTAAAGAATTGCTTTAACTTGGGAAAATTGTCCTTTTCGTATTCTTCATCCAAGTAAACCCTTTCAATGAATATCCCCTCATTTGTCCAACAGATAAAGTCACAATACTTAAACTCTGAGACAACCATCTGACCTTGAATCTGATCAAAATATGAATGGGTTGTGGACAAATAAATTTCACCATTTGTATTTCGTTTCAGACAGTAACTTTTATCATCTACAACCTCATCATCAGTTGGTAAAATATCCTTATATTTAAAGGGGCACTTGATCTCTAATAAACCATCACCACAGCAACTACACAAAACAATACCATCTGGACTTGCCCCCAAGAAGGGAAATTATGGATTGATAAGTAATCCACATTTCCTTACTGTGACATCTTCATGATCACTTATGAAGTTCACATAATATTGATAAGCATCTGC